GGGTAGGACGACAGTTTCCCTCCTGGCCCTCAGGTTCTGAGGTGGGGCCTGCTGGGACAATGTGTCTTGAGCCCTCAACTTCCTCCCACCATTCCGCCGCACCTTCCCTCTGCCTGCCCGCCAGTGGACCAGACAGGGGCGGGAGCCGGGCAGACGGACATGAACCAGCTCCCATCTGCCTGGGTTCTCCGCCCTGGCGCCCAGATTTGGAAATGCTCCATTCAGAAGCACCAAGAACACCAGCGCCCCCAGGACCTCAGGGCACAGGCCGTGCTTCACTCACAGTGACTGGAGACCTACCTGTTAGGAAGGAAGTCCTGGGGTCAGTCAGTCCATCCCCTGCCTCGGGGCAAGTCTGGTCTGGCCTGACAAGGGGCAGGAGGCCAAGGGGCATTTTGGCCTCTGTTACAATGGACAGGAGGTCCCCCTGACAAGGACACTCCAGCCACCACAGTTCACGTATCCTTGTCCTCTGAGAGTCTGGGTGGGGTGTGTGAGTGAGTGTGAGCTGCGTGTGCATGTGTAACTGCATAGAGGTGGGTGACACGTGTGACAGTGCGTGTGTGTGCACACGTGCTGGCACAAAGCACTGGGTTCCGAGTCTTGAGGATGCGTGGGATCCTTGGGTCAGCGGGATTTGCCCTCAGAACCTGAGGATGGAGGCTTAGGCACTGCCCCCAGGTTTGCCAAGCACTTCATTTGTGCCTGTTCCCGGCTTCGCCTCAGTGAGCGTCACAGAAACCCTGGAAAACAGGTGTGTTTGCTGCTCTTTGCAGGCTCAGAGAGGTTGAGCCTCGCACCCAAGGTCACACAGCTGCAGTGAGCAAGTAGCATGGATGGTAGGGTACCCGGGTCAATTCGCCCTGAGCCTGTGCTCGGGTCCCTGGCTCTACCAGGTCCTTAATGACAGATTAGAGGGACTCTTCAGGGAGCCCAGGCCAGCCCCACGCCGTGTTTCTCCGGCTCCCGGGACCTAGCTCAGCTCCAGCTCTGCAGATGTCGGGTTGACCCCCGACATGTCACGTCCAGAGACCTGGCTGAGACCACACCCCTGGGCATCTCTTGGAAACACGTGGAACTGAGGGTCTGGGGGCTGCAGCCACCCCTCCAGGGATGACTCCACACCGGTGTGCTGCAACACGATCACACACATTCACGCACCCTCGTGCACACCATCACACGTGTGCATCGCTGAGTCTGGGCTCTGCAGAATCTGTAGTCTTCTCCCAGGGCCTGCCTGGGACTCCATCCCAGTGACGCCCCGGTGACAGCTGCTTCTTAGCCTCATATCTATTTTTGAACGCCAGGAGGGGGCTCCGCTGGTCAGGAGGGAATATTTTTATGGTAAAAAATGAGGCTTGTTGCATCAGCTCCAGGAGGGGTGGGAACCGTTACCTCGGGTCGCCCGGGCAGACTGATGAAAATTCTGCTTATGAAGTCGCTGCTCCCCCATTAATTAAGGGGGGAGGGGGGCGCTCGCAGCACCGTGCACCGCGCCCACGGCCAAAAGCTTGTCAACATTTTCCACGAAGAATGAAAATGTAAATAACTTTCAGATTATTCAATGTCACCAAGGTATGGAAAAAGGTCGCAATGCTGGGTGTCATTTATCTCGTTGCGGATTTAAAGAGCTTTTTTCTATTAAATTTCTTAAAATTAATGTTTTATGTTCCTCAGAGTAATTTGAACAATTATGGGCTTAAAGAATTGATCATTACAGCCGCTGGGATTCAGCGCTCCAGACAGACTTCTTTGAAAACCCACTGATTTATCACCGTGCTGCTCAGCCAGGCCAGCCCTGGGGTTGGCACCCCAGCCCCTCCCATCCACATCTGAGGGGCCAGCACCCACGTTAAACCCCCGGGTTCTGCCATCAGATGGGGAGGAGGGAGATGAGGAGAGGAGTAGGTGGGTCCCTGATGCGGGAGGGTCCTTTGCACCATCGTTCAAATTTTATATTTAAAAGAAAAGAGGTCCTTTTATGTATTGGTCGAAATTATTTGTGTTATTTAGGTATTTGCCTTTGATGATGTAATACAATCGCTGAGTTCAAAAGTTAACAAGCTCAAGTGGGTCCGGCAAGCCCGCCAGGGGGCCCCAACCGGAGCCCGGGCGCCCCTCCGGCTCGCCCCTTTGTGCCCCAGTTCAGGTCGGGGTCCTGCGCAGGGCGCGGTGCCGCCCCTCCTGCCGGCCTCCCGTCCAAACAGCGGAAGGCACGACCCCCGCCCCAGCGCTCCGCGCCCACTGGCTTCGCAGCGCCCTTCCCCACTGGGTCCCCAACCAGCCGCGCCTCCACGGGCGGACAGGACGCGCCCGCTCGGGCGTTGCGCGAGATCCACAGAGACCACCCTCCCCCACTGTGCCCGGTCTGAGGCCCCCAGATCCCAGGCCGTGGGCCGGATCTCAGACTTGGAGCTGGGCGCCCCCCGGCCGGTTCCGTGGAGAGAGGGGGCGCCCCGAACCCCGCACCCTGGGCTGACACCCACGCGCGCCGGACGCTCTGCCCGGGGTTCATCGTGGAAAGTAAGTCGTCGTCTCCGGGTGACTCCTGCAGACGGCCCGGAATGATGGGGCGGAGGCCTCCTTCCCTTCACCTGCAGACGCCCGCAGCCCGAGGTCCTCCCGGCCTGAGGTCTGCCCGCCTACCACCTGCCGGCGGCGGGCTCGGAGGTCCCTGGTCCACGTGCGCCGGCTGAGCGGGACCCCGGAGGCGGAGCCGGGTCACCCCGCCCCCCTATCAGGATAATGTGAGAGCGGGCGGCTCCGCCCAGATGGGGAAACTGAGGCCAGCGGTCAGGGTAACGGGGCGGGTCTGACTCAGCTGAGCCCCACCACCAGGCCCAGCGGGTCACGCTGCTCCCCACGCGGGGGCCGGGCCTGGGGCCGCAGGGGGCTCGGACACCGTCTGCTCCTCCCGCCTCTCCTCTCTCCAAGTCGGCGATCGGCGATCGACGCGCGGGCAGCTGGAGCAAGCGCCGGGGGCTGCTTCCAGGCGGAGGGTCCCGCGGGGACATTTAGCACTTGATTAACCTGTCAGCGCCTAAAAGGTCCCGGGCGGCCTGGGGGAGGGGCTGGAGGCTGGGGGGCCGTGACTGGAGGATTTATACCCCCCTCCTCAGGGCTGCCAGCCCAGACAGCGCCTGCCTCACTGGGGCCACCGCTTTCCCTGCCCCCACCGGGGACTCTTTGAGCTCAGAGAGGGTCCCAAATTGTCCCCTCCAGCACACCACCCCACCTGCCACTGCCCATCCCTGACCTGAGAGCATCGTCCCCCAGGCCATCCCAGGACACTGCTGCACACCTTTGCTCACAACAGTCATGGTCCCCAGTGCTCCACCCCCACGTCCACTCTGCTGCAGCGCACGCTCTTCCCGGGTGGAACCAGCCGGGTAGACTGAGTGGCCCCTCTCCCACCCCCGCATCTTGTCCCAGGTGCCTCCTGTTTCCAGTCCCTGGCATCCCCATCCCGAGGCCTGCCCCAAGCACCCCTGACCGTGAGACACCACGAGGACACTCGAGGACACTCGGGTCTGTGGCTGCTGGCAACATTCCTCTAGGGTGGGCCACGTGCTCTGGATCCTGGGGTGCGGCTGGCGGTGGGGCCCTGGCTATCCCTGCCCGGCAGGTGATGGTGGGGGCGACTTGACCACGTCCCGTGGGCTGCTTAGCTGAGGGGATGTCTGGGGAGTGCCCCCTCCTCCTCCCCCACCTGGGGGACCCTCAGCCTAGCCTCCATGGGTTTCCTACCCACCTCAGTGCTCCACTGTCCAGTGGGGGGCATAACAACAGCCAGGCCACTGCTCTCTAGAGAGCACTCACTGCCGGGTTAGGGGGGCCCCATATGCATTGACCCCTCTTCAGTTTCCCTTCCAGAGGGCTGTCACCACTGTCTCCACTTCACAGGCTGACAGTGGGGCTCAGAGGGGCGAGTCATTTGCCCAGGGTCACACGAGTTAGCAGATGGCTGGGGTTGGAATCCAAGTTGGAGGGACCCCATGACCCTGTGCCATGAATCTCCTGACCAGCTGACCCCAGTGCCCCCTCCCCCTGCTGGTGCCAGCTCCAAGTGGTGAGCAGTTGTGGTCACGTTCCCTGGCCACCCCGGCCCCTCCCCTCCATCACAATGGACGGTCTGTTCTCCCATGTCTCCTTCCAGTGCTCAGAAGTTTGGCCAAGATCCAGGGACAAAGCAGCCCCAATTCACAGGTGTCATCCCTGGCAAGGAGCCAGCAGCTACTCCAAAGGCCCCCAGCTTTCAAAGAACCATCCACCACCCCCAACTCCCTCCTCCACCCGTGCCCCCCAGACTCACTAAAGACGGGGACCTTCCAATGACTGTAACTGACAAATTTATTGAAACTTTGGAAAGAGCCGATGGTAAGAGAATAAATAAAAGACACGGGACGTTCACAGAACCAACAGGTAGCTCGGGTGCAGGTTTGCGGAGATCACCTGGACTTGCGGGGGCCAGCCTGTGTCTGGGGCAGGCAGCAGGAGAGTGTCCGGGGCAGGAGGCAGGGCAGGCTCCGAGGGGCCCAGAGCCAGCCCCCTCCAGCGGGCGTACAATCCTCGGGCAGTCAGAGCCGGCTTGGAGAGGGAGGGCCCAAAGCTGTTTGGCAACTGAAATCAGTGGGCTGGGTGTGGGCTGGGTGTGGGCTGGGTGTAGCCTGGACGCTGAGGGCCTGGGGGTGGCTGTGAGTGGGGGGAGGGACTGAAAAGTTAGCCTGGGCTGGGAGGGAGCTCCTTATGGGCTTAGAGAGTTGATCAGGGAGAAGAAGGGCCCCCAGGTAATGAGTCCAGAGGAACAAAAAGATCTAGAACCAGCTGCCCGAGGGAACAGGGGTGAGAAGGCTCCTGGGAAAGGTGAGGGTGGTGGCAGGGAGGCCCCCAGAGGGACCAGGAAGGACGTGGCTCCCCCACCACCACCTCCCTCCTGGACAGATGAGGCCCATCTCTGACCCAGAGTTGGGGGTGAAGGGGCTACACCATTCAGACATACAGAGCCTGGGAAAGGAACGCATGGTTAGTGTTATTTTTTAATTTTAGAAATGAAAGCATCTTCCAGCCTGAGGGCTGTGCTGGTCCGGGCTGAGGACAGGCCCCAGAGCAGAGGTCTGGCCTAGGCGGGGCGACATTTCATGTCTAGAAAGAGCAGCAAGCACTCACTTAACTCGTCGAGAAAGGGAGAAATCTGCTTACAAAACAGGCTTGCTGGGGGGACACCAGCCGCCAGCCCTGTGTCCCAGGAGGAGCGGGCACGGACAGGAGCCAAATGAGCCCGTGGGCCCCAGGGAGGCGGCTGCGTGGCTGGGTGCTCCGCAGAAACCAGCCCTCCCTTGATGTCCTCGTCCTGTCCCCCGCCGGTGGCACCTGCTTCCCGCTGAGGTCCTGGGCTTCAGGAAAGGAAGAGAGCACAGCTCCAGGCGGCCCAGCCAGGGGCAGCACCGCTGCCCACACCCCTCATGTCCGCTGCGGTGGAGCGGGGGCGGGGGGGGGGGGCCTCCGTCAGAACTGAGCGTGGTCCACCTCGTCCAGCCAGGAGGCGGGGCTGGCAGGGAAGTCAGGGTAGCCCCCGCTGCTCCCCGTGGACAGATCAGAGCTGGGTCCGTTCCCTGCCAGCACCCTCATGGGTGGGGGCCCACCTGGGGCCCCCGCGGGCACGAGGCCCAAGCCGGCATCTGGGTACACCAAGCTGGAGAGGAGGGGCTGGGGGCCAGGAAGGCTCTGCAGGGCAGCTGGGGAGGGGGGGACGCCGTAGGGGCTGCTGGCGCGCAGCTCCCGGTACTGCTCCGGGCCGGCCAGGCCTCCATGCTCCAGCGGGAAGCTGCCTGGGGCTCCCGTGGGCCGGCCCAAGGCCGGGGTGGGCTCCCCCAGGCTGCCGTAGAGGCCGTTGGCAGGGCCCATTTCGGCCATGGACGGCTCTTCTGCAACGGAAGCGGAGGGCACTGCTCAGAGCCCGCCCTCCTCCACCTCGCCCCTCAGGACCCCTCCTGCAGGGACGACCTGCCCCACGTCATACAACAGGCCAGCCCAAGTCCCTTCTGCTCTTAGAATAGACAGCTGCCTTCTGTCCCCACCCTCCCACCTCGGTGTCCAGCTCAGTCCCACACGGTGTCTAAAGAATGATGGCTGTAGTCCAGTCAGAACCCAGGGTTCCATGACCATCCCCAAGTTAAAGAGGCCCAGAGAGGCTGGGTGAGCAGCCTAAGGTCATCATGCAGCCCAAAAGAGTCTCTTGCACAAACTCTCTGAGGATGGGAATTAAGGGGTGGGATTGAAGTCTCCCTGGTATGGAGAATGAGGTCATCGGATCCCACAGAGGAGGGTGGACCCTCAACTCCAAACAGCCAGAAATTTGTAATCATTTACCCCAAAATCGTGCTGCCCGCTTTTCTAAAAATCATCGCAAGGGCGGGGAGCCAGAAAGATGGTCGCGACGCCCCCCCATGAGAAAGCCTGCTGAGGGCCAGGCCGGGTCATAGGGGTTCTGGCCCCCACCAGGGGAAGAGCAGTGGTCCTGAGTGGCCAGCCCACAGTGTTTGGGGATGGGGGACCAGGGTCCATAAATGAATTTTTTTTTAAGTAAGGCTAAAGAGGCCACTGACTAGGAAATTTAGATTTCCCTGCAACCAGTCAACCCAACGTTCTTCCCGGCGCGGGGCTGCGCGCTGCCGAGGCCGCCCGCACCGGTGAAGGAGACTTCGGCGTCGCTGTCCTGCCCCTCCTCCTGGACGCTGTCCTTGTCGGACTTGGAGCCGCCGCGGGCGCGCTTCATGCTGCGGAAATACTGGCCCCAGCGCTGCCGGCCCGCGTCCTTCTTGAGCCTCTTTTCCTTGGCCCGGCGGTTCTGGAACCACACCTGCGGGCGGGGGCGGGTGAGTGGCCGCAGGGCGCGCGGGGGCGAGTGAGTGGCCGCAGGGCGCGCGGGGGCGGGCAGGGTGGCGGCGGGCGCGGGGCGCTGACCTGCACGACGCGCATGTCGAGGCCGGTCTCGGACGAGAGCTGCTCGCGCACGTGGCGCGCCGGCTTGGGCGACGTGTTGTAGGCGCTCTTGAGCGTCTCCAGCTGCTTGGCCGTGATGGTCGTGCGCGGCCGCTTGGCTGTGGCCTCGGCCTCTGCACCGCGGGCGGGCGGTGGTGAGGCGGAGCCTGCTCCTCCGGCACCCCAGCGCTCCACACCACACCCTCCTGGGCGCGGGGACCTCGGGGCCCCTAATACCGCCCCCCCAGCGACCGACCGCCGTGGCCGCGGGGTCAGGGGGCTTCGCGGGCCGCGGGGCACTGGGAGCAATGGAGAAAACCCGGGTGGGGGCGTTGGGCCTGGGCGGAGGGGCGGCTCGGCTGCGGCCTTCATTGGGGACCCGCGCGGCCGGTGATCGCGGCGCTGCCACCTCCTGCCTCGGCCCCCCAGTGGCAAGCGCCCCGCGCCCCCGCAGTTCCTCTTTGTTCCAAGGGTGTGGGTAATGCCAGATCTCCACCGTAAGGATTTAGGGTGATAATTCAGACCAGGGTGAGAATCCACATAATTCGACCAACTTCCCTGTGCTCCAGAGTCAGGCGGCCGCTGTGACCCCAGACCCCGGCTTCCCCAGAGCAGGGCTGTTAATTGTCCCCACCCGGCTCTGGCCCCGGCTCCGGCCTGGGGGTGGCGGTGCCCCCACCGCCCCGGCCTGTAGGGAAGGCGGGTAAATTCGCGTCCCTCAGGGAGCGCTCCGAGGCGGTCGCTGGAGGCGAGGATCCCTCCGCGCCCCGACCCCGACTGGCCTCAGTCCCACTTCGCAGGGGAGGAAGAGGGGCCCTACCCAGACCGTTGCCCGCTCCCGCTGACCTCGCTGCTTGGCAGTCTCGTAGTCCGCCTTGCACACGAGTCGGCTGTCCTCCATGAGGTAGAATTCGTCGCCCGTGGCAAGCTGCCGCTTGCACACGACGCAGGCGAAGCACTGCAGGTGGTACACGAAGTCCTGGGCGCGGCGCACCACCTGCGTGGGCGGGATGCCCAGCTGGCACGCGGCGCACTTGGTCCCGAACCGCCTGCGGGACGCACAGGGCGCGGCTCAGCACGGCGCGTGCGGCTCCTTCGCCCCGAGCGGGTCGGAGAGCGGCGAGCGCAGCGCCGCGCAGGGCGGCTCTGGGAGGAAGGCTCGCCCGGGCCCTGCCCCTGGTCACCCGCCCGCAGCGCCGGCACAGCCGCACAGACTACGGAGAGGGGGACCCGGAGGCCCTGGGGAGCAGAACCGCGCGTGGTGCTCGGTCGGGAAGGTGAATGTTTTAGACCCCGGAGGCCTGTGTTCGGAAGGCGCCGGCTCCCCAGCATTAAGGACAAAAACAGGACCAAAATTAAGAGGAAGTAAGTCCAATAGAGTTCCACAAACTTGGGGTTATCTTTTTTAACGATTGCTTCGATGATTCACAAAATTAATTACTCTAAAAAAAATTTGCTGATGTGCCAACCAGGCTGGGCCACCCAGGGAGAGGCCCCAGGGGCCTCAGCCGCCCTCCCCCAGAGGCCCCAGGGGGCTCTGCCGTGACAGGAGGGGGCCTGGAGGTGGAGGCTTCCCGGGCTCTGGACGTGATTATTGTGAGGGGTCAGGGGAGTCCCTCCAGGGCCCACTCCGGCCTCCTTTCCCCCCGGGGCAGACAGTGCCGCTCGTCCCCCTCCAGCAGCCCTGGGCTCACTTGAAGAAGTCTTCCTTGCAGTAGACGCTCTCCCCGCGGCTGAAGCAGCGCTCGGCCAGCGGCGTGTGACAGTCGCTGCATTTGAGGCACTTGCTGTGCCAGTGGCGGTCCAGAGCCTTGAGGATGAAGCGGTCCAGGATGTGCTGGTCGCAGCCGGCACACAGCGGGATCTCTGGAGGCCGAGGAGTCGCTGCGGTCATGGGCACGGCACAGAGTGGGCAGCATCAAAGTCACTTCCCACCCCAGCCCCCAGGACCCAGGGCTGCTGAGGGAGACCCCCTTCCCTGTGCACCCTCGTCCCCAGGCGGTTTGAGCAGCTGCCTGGCACCCCGGAGCTGGCAGTGCATGGTACCAAAGTCCACAGCCTGGCTCACAGCTAAAATTCAGGTAAACTGAAAATGGATTTAGAAATGTGCCGGTGAGCAGGAAGGTGCCCAGGCGATTCCATTGGGCCAGATACCGTCAACCACAAAATGTTCCCAGCACGCATGAAGGGTGCACACTGAGTTCAAGTTAAAACTCCTCCCCAGGGGCTCTCTCAGAGGCCAGGCTGGAAAACGGGCCCTTACCATCACCCAGAGGCTGGGCATATGTGGTCCTGGGGCACCCACCACCCAGTCATCCTCACTACCTTGCACAATTAAGCATCATAGCGGCTAGAGGCTCCTTGTGCGTGTGGCTGCCCAGCCCCGTGGCCCTGTCTGCGGGCCACCAAGGTAAAAACCGACGCCCTCTCCATCTTTGGGTGGCTTCGGGGTACTTGTGAGTGGACTGGACAAATGGATCTGCTGTCCTCACGCTCCAGGTGGGTGCCTGAGCACACAGAAGGTGGTTTGCCCTCCCCACATGGTCATAGTTACTCCAACACATGGGTTCTGGCGCGTTCTGCTCCCCCAGGACTGCAGGTCTTTGGGGGACCAGGTTGGGGAAATGCAAGGGTGGCCTGTGGGGTCCACGGGGCTTTTCGGGGTGCTAATGGGTGAGGACTCCTTGTTAATTTAGAAAAGGTCTCCCGGGGGAGGAGAGAGCCAGGAGCAGGAGGTGGAACCTACGCAAATATTGCTCCCACTTCTCCGCACTCATCTCGCTGCCCCCGGACCCATCTGGCTCCAGGCCGGCCCCACAGTGGGTGGGAAGACCAGAGAAGGACCTCCTTTGGCCCCAGACCCAGGGAACCGGATCCACCTCCCTCCTGAAGCGGCAGGAAACCTGCGAAGGACGCGACCCCGCGTCGGGCAAAACCTCAGCCCTGGGTGCTGAGCGTGGGGATCCGAGCCCTCCGGGCCCCCATCTCGGGCGCGACGGCAGGTTGGCGAGGACACCGGGCATAGAGTTGGTAGCTGCACAGGCCCGCACCGCGCGGATTCAGCACCGAGGCCCGGACAGCGCCCCGGCCTTGCCGCCCCTGGAGCCCGCGTCTGGCAAAAGCCGCTCCCGCCGCGCCCCTCGCGCTCCCCGCAGCCCCGGCGACGCGGGCCTTACGCTGCATGACGACTCCGGCCTCGGCGGGTCTCCTGCCCTCGGCGCCGGCGGGGCCCGCAGAGCCTCGCGCCCGCCCGTCCCGGCCAGCTCTCCTCAGCCGTGGCTCTCCGAGCCCGCCTCCCCTCCCTCCCTCTCCCTCAGCCCTCCCACCCTTTCCTCCCAGCCTCTGCGGCCAACCCCTCCCAGGAACCGTTGGAAAATAAATAAATAAATAGGGGACGGATGAGACCCCACAGCCTGGAGGTAACCCCTTTCCCACCTGCTCCCTCCCTGCCGCTCCCCACTCCGCCAGGGTCGCCTGTCTCCATCCAGTGGTCCCGCCAGCCCGGAAGCCCCGGGAGAAGGATCCCGGTTCTCCGGGAGCCAAAGCGCTGGGGGCGAGACTGGTGCCACCAGGAAGTTGGAGGTTTTCCTGTAGAAGGGTTCTGAGGACCAGCCGGGAGCAGGCCAACAAAGCAGGTGTGTGTGGGTGCAGATGCCAGACCCCAGCTGGGGGCGATCTGCGGATGGGCTTCGGCTCCACCCCGGCCCCTGCATCTGACTCTCTTCCTCTGGAAAGTGCGGCGGGTCTGGGTGGGGGCGGCCCTCTTGAGGATCCTCCTGCTCAGTGGTCACTGAACCCCACTTGCTCCCTGCACACTCTCCCGATCAGGGAGAGGACTTCCTCAACCGGTCCTGGGGCCCCGAGGGCTCCCCGGCCTGAGCGGCGCAGCTTCGGGACCACACAGCCGACAGCACAGCTGCAGGGGCCCCGACGCAAACTCGCCGCTGGGGCGCCCAGGAGGGGACGTGCTGGGACCCTCGCATACAGTCCTGCCGGGTCCCCTGGCTCCCGCCACCTCCGTGGCCAGGCCCGGAAAGGAGAGAGGACCTCCGGGTCTCGCCGGGGTCCGCCCTCCCCGGTGCAGGCCCCTTGGCGCGGGCACCCACCTCGGCGCAGGTCCTCCCTCCGCGCCAGCAGCGCCAGCAGCAGGTCGCCGCCCGCCGACTCCCGGCCCGGGCCCAGCTCCCCGCGCGCCTCCATGGGTCCCGTGGCCCGGCGACGCCGCTCTCCGACCCCGAACTTTCCCGGGGCTCGGCGAGGCCACGGCCGCAGTGGCCCCGGGCCGGCGT